ACAATATCAATCTCTAATTTTTATGATGCACTTACAAGTGGAAACCAATCTAAAATAAACCAAACTATAAAATTAACTTACGATCTGATTAACATATATCAAAATAAATCATAATATTCTCTTCTACTCTTCCACGACGTTCTCCTCCATGTGAAGTGGTGTCAGTAGCTCGTACCTCGGGCTCTCCGCTTCCTCCACCTCTTCTTCCGCCGCGACCTCCGGAACAGCCGTCGGGCGGCGCTCTTCCGCCTCTCGCCTCTCCATCCACCTGCGGACCACTTCGAGCGCTTGCTCCGCCCTCTCCGCTGACGTTTTTTCATTCGGGACATTTTTTGTTGACGGCTGCAATATTGCAGTCGGATACATCCTCCTCGCCCTCGCTTGCCTTGATAGAGGCGAGTCGAGGATTATGCTTATGTCACGGATGGTCGGTTTGCCTGGTGTATTCTTGGATTCTTTATCTGTCACCATCTTCTTTTTGTTACCTTTATCCGGAATCAGCATGTTAGCAAAAGCTTGTAGGTTTTCTTTATTCCTCTGGATATAAAGCCCTTTTTCATTTTTGGGACGTTGTATTAATTGACTAGGAGTTTTAATTTTCTCCGGTGTGTCGTTCCATCTTGATCTTTTCTTCTTATATTGTTCTTTTTCCGGTAGCCACTCTTCGTCTTGATCTTCCTGCTGTTCAAATATTATGGGCGAATACTTTATTCGCTTAGTTGCAGGCTTCTCCATCCTTTTTCTCTTGTCGCTTCTTTTAAGTTGTCTTTCTTTTCTTATTATTGTGGATGTTGATGACAACGCTGGAGAAGGTGAACGAACGTGCTCTATAATTGGTTCCACATATTCTTGTTCCTCCTTTGATCTTCTTATATTGTCTTTTTTAGTTATTACCTGTCTGGACGCTCCGGTAATTGTTTCTGTTTTTATTATTCCGGATCCCATTACTGTAGCCGCCCTTGTTATCCTTCCGTTAATGATGTCGAAGGATATGTTATACGCTCGCTCCGCTGTATCGTTGCGTGGCATGAGATCTTTAAGTGATATTGTGGTTGTTATCTCGCATACTTCTTCGCCTTTCTTGTTTTGTAAATTGACTGAATCATAACCACTCACATTGCGCACACTTGCTTTTTTAAGGCTATGTAACGCATTTGCTACCTTCTTTGCTCGAACTTGTTCATCCTTAAGGGCGTCTTTTATATCTTCTTCGTCGACGTCAGCAAGCTTTGCCAATTCGGATTCCATTGCCTGGATCCTCATCTCAGTACTTTCAATTATTGCTACCATAGTAGATTTTTCTCTTATCTCCTCAACTAGTTTTTTCTCCCTTTCTTTTAGTCTTCGTAATGTAGCACGTTGTTGGCTCGTCCCTTCCATATTTTCAATTCTTGCTATATCTATATTTATATGATTTATGTAGTTATTAAACCATTCACTGGATGAATATTGCTTATCCTGTTCTTTCAATGTTGAACACTTACGTGAGATTTCTGTAACTGCGTATCTCTCACGTGCCCCTTCTTTATCCGCTCTCCTTGCGTGTGATTTTCCTTGATTTACCGAACTTGACGCTCTGTCCCCTATTGAATACGATGATTTTATTAGATTTTTATTTATTCGGCTCACCGTATTGTGTTGTGTACTATCTTCCTTTGACGTACTTCTCTCTGCTGGAATATCTTGGGATTTATTGATATTCTGCACCTTTGTCTCTTTCGTACGATCTTTTACGTTCGGTGGTTGAGATGCAACTGTGCTTGTTGTCACTTCTGAGCCCAGCGCTAAGTCTCTTGCGTTGATACATTTGCTAGTAGCGCCATCTCTGATAGTAGTCTGTCAATTCGTTGTTCTGTCCTCTTAAGTGCGTTCGCATTGCACTCGCGACTGTAACTGGTGCTCGCGGTGGCTTTCATTTGCGAAACATTATTTTTCTTGTTATTAGGTGATGAATTATCCATGAATAATGTATTTTTATCCACGGAATCACCAATTGAATCACGACAAATTGTGAAACTAATTTTTTTCTTCTTTTCAGGTAAAGTGTGTTCGTGACAGGTGACAGGACTACTGGTATTACTGCTACTCCTCTCGGAATGAATTTCTTCATCACTAATATTTTCTTTTAGGTACGGAGATTTATTCCTCTCGCATTCTAAATTTCTTTTTCTTGCTGTTTCTTGTAAACTAACGTTCTCTTGTATCTTGTTTTCCAGGTTTTCCATATTGGATTGCCCAGCCTTCTCGGATGTTTTTGATGTTACTCCTGGCATAAAATCATCAATCTTCAGGTGATGTTCCATCCTGGGAATTTCTCCTCTTCGTAATTGTTTAAACATCGCGCTCCACTTTTGCTGCTTGTGCAACGGGATTGCTCTCAGTGTATCCAATGGCATAGAATACATTGGTGTGTCAGTATCGTTTTGATTTACGAATACTGTTACTTCGTTCTTCTTTTCTTCTTGTTCCCTCTTTTTGATTTCAGGTACTTGCGTTTTCTCCGGTAACATGGTTTGATGCTCCGGTA